CTGCGGACACACAGTCTGGCAGCGCAGGCGGTGCAGGAAGCAAGGGAGAGAGGCGTTTGCGCTCGGGGCTGCCCGCTTTCCCCCGACGCCCTGGAGCACGGCTCCCTGCGCCCGCTTCCATGGCCAGTCCCAGCTGTCGGCATCTCGCTCTCGCCAGAGTCAGCTCGGGCCTGCATACTCCGTGTCCCTCAATATTTCTGGGTCCTCGGACTACATGTACCCCCAGGACTACAGGTACCCTCTCCCCGGACTGCAGGTATCCTTCCCCCGGACTACACGTTCCCCCGCCCGGACTACAGGTACCCCCCCTGGACTACAGGTACCCCTCCTCCTTGGACTACAGGTGCCCGCCCCCAGACTACATCCACGCGCGCGGGATCCCGCGCGCGTAGAGCCACGCGTGCGTTGACGCGTGGACACGCGTTCCCCCCAAGATTGCAGGTACACCCCCCCAGGCTACAGGTACCCATTTTCCAGACTACAGGTTCCCCGCCCTGGACAATTGGTACCCTCCCTAGACTACAGGTAATTTCCCCTCCCCTGGACTGCCTTTACCCCCCCTGGACTACAGGTACCCCCAGAACTATTGAGGGACACAGGGTAAATGGTTCCATGCGACCTCAGCGGGCAGTGCCGACAGTCCGCTTGGGCCAGCCATGTGTGGCACCAAACCTTACCCTCACTGCCGCCGGTCAGCTGTGCCGACGCTCCCCCCTCCCCGAGTACGCATCTGCCGCTCCCGGGCCTGACGAGTCTAGAATCCTGGCTGCAGCAGCATCGCAGCTGTGAGCACTTGGGCACACCACTTTTCGCGGATCTAGTCGGCGAGTATTTGCCGCTGTCTGTTTCCGTGTCTGCAGCCAGTGGAGCAGAGCAATGCTGCGGGTATGGTCGGCCCAGGAGGTGATCGTCAAGTCCGGTTTGCGCTCTTCGCTTAAGTGAATCGAGCTCGCGTGTCTCGGTGGTCGTCACCCCAGCGGGACCCTGTGAGTATGAAGGCCGAACACAGGCGTCACTACAATACTCATCGTCAACATCCCAGGGTTCAGCAATTTTGTACGTGCACGATGTCTTTAAAGTCTGCAGTCGGCAATATCGTTACTTTCATCTTCATCACACTCGACCATTCCCACTATCCTCCGCCTCCGCATCATTTTATCAGCATCATCACCATCATCAGCATCATCATCGTCATCATCATCATCACCATCACTACCGTCATCACCATCAGCATGTTCATCCTCCTCATCATCAGCATCATCATCACTATCAACGCCATCATCATGATCGTCAACAGCATCAGCGTGACCATCATCATCGTCATTATCACGATCACCATCATCATCATCATCATCATCATCAGCATCACGACCTTCACCATCATCATAGCATCATTATGGTCACCATCATCAGCATCATCATCATCGCCATCAGCATCACCACCGTCATCATCACCAAAAACGTCATCAACGCCACCATCAGCATCACCGTCGTCAGCAGCATAATCAGCCATCACCATCACCATCGTCAACACCATCATCATCAGCATCATCGTCAGTATCACCACCACCACCACCATCATGACCAGCATCATCATCATCATCATCATCATCACCATCATCATCGTCATCGTCATCATCATCAGCATCATCACCATCACCATCATCGTCGTCATCGTCATCATCATCACCACCGTCATCCGCGGATGTTTGTTGGCTCAGGTCGCCGCTCGCGCGGGGTGTGCGTGAGCGGCGGTGGTCTGCCGATTGAGTTCGACCCGAAACCTGCGATGGCTTCGGCGGCCCTGTACGCCAGCGTGCGCCGCCCACGCCACGGTGCGCTCTGACAGCGCGCCCGTGTCAGGAGGGGAAAAATCACACAGACACAACTAATCGGCGATTCCCAGAAAATATGGGAAAATATGGGAAGTGGGGGGGAAGACAAAAGCCCAGAACACATTGGAAAATATGGGGGTAGTTTTATTTGTGTGTATTTATGCGTGTGTCCCAGTTCCCCTTCACAGTGGAGCTAATGCGGCCAGGGATGCAACGAGGGCGAGAGCAAGACGTTGGACCCAACATCTGCCCCGATATGATATGCACCTTCAAATCTCACTACCAGCGGTAGTCCACTGTCTGTAGGTGGCGCGGCGGCACGCAGAGGACGCGGCAATATTCTAGATTGAAGGGGGATGAGGTTGATGACGCCATGATGGGAGTGACGACAGGCCCTGCTTCAGTTATTCCCTCCACGCGGGTCCCTGCTAGCATCCCGCTGCGCTGGCAGAAGAGCCCAACTGAGCAGGAATGAATCGAGAGACTTGGGGGGGGAGATGGATGGGGGGCGGGCAGATGGGAGGGTAGGGGCTGCGGGCGGTGAGTGGGCGGAGGAAGAGCCACGAGGATCCACTGCCCCTCCTCTCCTCCCTCCTCCTTTCCCCCTGCCGTTTCCGTCCCGCCGCCTTCGCCCCCGCCGTTCCCCTCGTATGGTCTGGGAGCCT